CTGCTCTATAGTCTGTATTGAAATTATGGGATGCTCCTGTACAACTTGTGCTCTGAAAGGTTGTAAAGATTTAACAGGAGCAGTAACAGAGCATCGTGAGAGGCAGCTTAAGGCTCTCATGTAAGTCAGCAGTGACTGGGCAGTGAGCAAAGTGTAACAGTGATCACAAAGAGGAATGGAGTAGCAGACTGGAGGTTCAGTGCAAGGAACAGAAAGCAGTTGCCAGTGCCAAGGGTGCAGCTCCTGTGACCTCTACAGAGCTCTGCTGCTTTAGAGCAACAGGCAGCTCTGCTCAGAGCAGCTGTTCAACACTGGCTGGCACGTGTGTGGTGATTGCATGTAGTAGTAGAACATGGTTCATTGATGAATGGTTGAGGGAAACTGCTGGTTTCCATGGTTGGGAGCTATCTATCAAGATGTAGCTGGCCTTGGGTGGGGCGTGAGAGGGAAGTAAGACAAAAATGAAATTTGTCTCCTGTTCACTGAACCCCTTCCCATGTCCAAAAGCACTTCTCTCAGAATCTACCAAATAATCTGTAGGCTCAGGACAAAGAGCCTGTTATGATCTCCTGATTTCCCCTTTCTCCCTCCAGACTCTCCTCTTGAAAGAGGGCTCCTGTGGGCTAGGAGAAGAGGCTGGGACAATTACACAATAAAGCAGAAGGCTTGGGTTCTAACCCTGCCTGCTAATCATCTAGGAAGTACCAAAGAGATGTACTAATTAGATTAAAACAAGATGTGGATGAATCTTTCTGAACTCCCTTTTACCTACAATGACCTATAGTGAGTAATTAAAACTACGTCAGTGACAAGCGCCTCTTGTGGTCATCAGCCACAAGGGACACTGTGAAATCAGATTACTCTCAGACAGGGACAAATATGCTTCATATTTTAGACACAAAGGACATAGTTTCTTTCTTAAAAGAGCATTAGTGTCTCCATTGCCAACAGCCAACCAGGAAGCAATTTGCACAACCTGGCTTGGCTGAGGTTGTGCCATTCCTTGTACACATTTGGCAATTAGTCCATGGTGCACAGAAGCATCATGCAGCACATAATGACCCTCCTAGCCTGGGGGCTTTGTGCCATCTGCCCACAAAACAGACAAAGGCTGTAGAAGGGTTAAGCACTGTTTGGTGGGGGATGTTAGTGCAGAATGCTCTGGGATTATTTTTCCAACATGAAAACTTCAGAAGCCCTAAGAGCAAGTAGTGAGTCCTCTAAATTCAGTTATTGGCACCAGACACCTGCAGTATGTGATAACTGAATTCTCTGTTTCCTCTCCTTGAAGTGGTGATCCAGGTACCAGCTATTTGTGCTTTCCTTGTGTTGATCCTTGGCAGGTACTTTGTCTTCGCAGCTTCCTCTGTAATTGTCCTGAAGAGCCGTGTTGTGCATCAAGTTCCATAGACAAAAGATGCTCTATGTGAGAGGACAGCTGGTATGTCTTATAAAATGTTCTGGCTTGTTGATATTTTGTACACCTACAGCTATTATTGGTGAGGGTCTGCATCCTTTGAATTGAGCTTTGTTCTTCTGTTGGTGGTGAGTGCTGCCAAACAGGCTGAGCTCTAGAGAGCTGATGAGCAGACAAAAACTGTGATGACTGTATCTATAAAAACAAGTCACAAAAAATAGGAAGGAAAAAAAAAAAAAAAAAAAAAAGAAGTTATTTTCTTCTTTCATTAACTAGGACAAGTGTATTTCAAAGGAAAATCAAGTTTTGAAATTAGCTGTTTGGAGAGGCTGCATGGCTCAGTGGCTTGGCTCTGCTCCATGGAGTCTGTCCCTTTGATTTAGTTGCAGAAAGCTGACCAGGATGGACAGTGTCTGCTGGCGAAGATCACTGAGGGTCTATCCAACTAATATCCACTGGCAGTTGGAAAATGAGAAAGCGAGCCTGGAGCTTCAGGCTTCTAAAGGATTCTTCAGCTGTGTTTGCATAGCTTGGACTGCAGACAGGGACTGTGGAAGCCACGTACAAGGCTGTCAGTCTTTCTTGGCCCTTATGCAACCTCAGAATTCACAAAACAATTTTCTAAAACTCCTACAGAACAACTATTTCCATCAAGCAGCTGAGTTTTACTCTGTTTCTCTACTGCTCTCTCTGTGTTACAAGCTGGGAGTCCCCAGCAGCCAAGTATTGCCAGAAGGGGAAAAAACCCTAAGAAATGCCAGACACCAGGTAGCAGTACCTGGATGTCCAGGAACTATAAGAATCCCAGGACCTACCTATGTTCAGTAGACTCTATGAGGTTTAAGTTCTACTTGCTTTCTCAAAGGGGATCTCCTCAGAAGAATGCTGGTATCAGTATTAGCTGCTTCTCCTCTGGAGGAGCCCCCACATTAATGGACTATGTAGTGCAGTTGAAGAAAGGGATGCAGGCATAGGGTGTTTCAGCCATGCCAATGTCCAGCAAGCCATTCCATTGGCACCTGGCAGCCATTCATACATGGGCAAGGGGACAGGAGAAAAACTGTTGTGGCTTTATGCTGCTGCAGCCAGCTTTCTGCTCCCAGTTAATTTAAAAAACAATCCAAAGATGGTTAGTCTTAGAATGGAAGAGGAAGTGACATATCAGTCCTTCCTCTTTTCTTACATCACATAGTTCTGCTACAGCCAACTGCACCTGTTCTGAACACATGTCCACTGCAGTTTCCTTCAGAGTGCATCCTCATTGCTGTCAAATGCTGGATTGCTATGGCCTCCCATATTTCCTTCTACTGGTATTGCCACAGAATCTGAGAAGAAGGTTTCATTCAGAGGTGGCCAGGCTGAGTCCTGCTCTAACACTCGCTGCAGTCTCTTGTACTGGCTCTTCGAGTGGTACTGGAAGGTCTTTTTCAGCAGCAGCCACAAGGATCTGTTCTCAATGACAGCTTCCTGTAAGAGCAAGAGGGAAAAGAAGATTCTGGAGGACCTGGACAGTGGTTTTCCCTCTTCATCCACAGGGGATACACTGGACAAGTAGTAAAGACTCAGTCCTTCTACCCTGTCCTGCTCATCCATATCCCTTAAATAGCCTTCTACTGACCATTTCTCATAGCAGCTCCACCAGAACTCTCTACCAGAAAACTGGGACCAGCTCCTCCTGAGAGTCTTCAGGATCTGAGCAGAAAACACCAAAGACTGCCCATATTTCCCTAGCCTGGGGCAAGGCCTGACACATCCCACTCACCAGAGGAAAGAAAAGGTTTTTGGGCCTGGCATTCCCTTATGTCTGATCATTCAGATGTGGGACTTTGGGGAAAGACAGTAAGGAAGACATAGCAGCAATGGCTCCTGTTTTACTGTTTTATTCCTAAGATGGGCTGAAGTAGAACGAGTAAGAATGAGACCTGACCTCTTTGTCTCTTCAGTTAGTGCTGAAAAGTACATTCCATGAGGCATACTCACCTCAACAAGGAAAGACACAGCAAATGTGACTGCAAGCATTATCACCATGGAGATCCTCCACATGGTAGGGGTGCAAACAAGCTGGGGAAAAAAAAGCAGGAGAAGCTGTTCAACAACGTGTGGCACACAAGACACCGATGGGAGCTTATGTCATAGAGTAATAGAATCATTTATGATGGAAAAGACTTAAGATCATCATGTCTATCCATAAACCTAACACTGCCAACTCCACCACTAAACCATATCCCTAAGTGCTATGTCTACACGTCTTCTAAATACCTCCAGGGATGATGACTCAATCACTTCCCTGGGCAGCCTATTCCAGTGCTTGACAATCCTTTCGGTTAAAAAATTTTTCCTCCCTAGCACAATTTGAGGTTGTTTCCTGTCACCCTACCACTTGCTACTTGAGAACAGAGACTGACACCCACCTTGCTACAACCTCCTGTCAGGCAGTTGTAGAGAGTCAGAAGGTCTCCCCTGAGCCTCCTTTTCTACAGATTAAACCACCCCAGCTCCTCCTCGTAAAACTTGTTCTTTAGACCCTTCACCAGCTTCACCAGAATCCCACACTGGCCATACACTGCTGATGAGTCAGTATTGCTACTGGTCTTGAGGAACTATTGATAAAATGCTTTTTAAAGTTACGATGCAGCAGAGAAAATCATGCTCCAGAACTGAATCTAAATGCTTCTGTTCTTTCTAATATAGGAAGTAGTTTGAAGTCTTGAGCGGTTCTTGAACTCCAACTCCAGCTTCCCACAGCTGGCAGCACTGGCTTTCTGGCTGTAGCTCAGCTTATTTTGGAGATGCAGCTCAGATACAACATTTGAATCAGCAGTTTCTCCAGGGCTAGGCTATTGCAGAATCTGTTATTGCCATTTCCTCCTTTTCTCTTCTCAGCAATTCAGACAGCTTGGGAGTTTTGCAGTTCTCCCCAGAGACATTTTAGCCCCTCACAGCTGCAGTGTTGGCCATGTCCTGAGTCCCCACAGTCCACAATAGAACTAAGACTTGCTTTGAAGTGCCATCCTGTGGCAGATTCTTCAACTGGGTCTGCCCACACTGAGAGCTGCTGTGACTGCTGACTGGCAAGAGTATCTGTGTGCAGAGCAGCACATTCTCAGCACAGCCTGGGAAAGTGCATGGTGCCTTAGTTTAAATTTGCAGGACCTAGTCCCTTTCTTCTCCTATCTCCACAACTATCAAGCCACCAACCTACCAAGCATGACAAGCTTACTGATGTAATCTTCTGTTGCATGAACAACTAATTGAAACAATCAAACATTCATGTGTAGCTGTCCAGTTGTCAGAATACACAGATCTTAGTTTGGAGATACCATTTCTCCAGAAGGTTCTTCAATCCCATCATCTAAAACCCATCTCTTTAAATATGATTTGTCTTTAGACAAGCCCTGTATCCTTGCAAAAGCTTGTCTTTTGTCAAAAACAACCCCTGTGCACTAACAATGGGACAAGCAGTAGGAAGAAAACCCACCAATACTCACATCCATCTTAGAGTAGACATCTGCAATATCAGCAAACACCAAGAAAAGGCAAATGCCCAGCTGCCCTATGAGCACCAGTATGAACACATCTGAAGGCAAAAAGAACAACCAAATAAAACCACAAGTTTATGAGCAATCTCAGATGTTTGTCTTTACCTCAGAAGACTGTAATCATTTTCTGTGTCAGTCCAACAAAATTCCATGAGATAGGAAGGAACTTTCAGCAAAAGAAGAACAAAGAGAGTGAAACTTCAGTTTTACTCAGTCAAGTATCATAGAATCATAGAATCGTAGAATCTTAGGGCTTGGAAGGGACCTCGAAAGATCATCTAGTCCAACCCCCCCTGCCAGAGCAGGGTCACCTAGAGTACATCACACAGGAACTTGTCCAGGTGGGTTTTGAATGTCTCCAGTGAAGGAGACTCCACAACCTCCCTGGGCAGCCTGTTCCAGTGCTCTGTCACTCTTACAGTAAAAATTTTTTTCCGGATATTCACCTTGAACCTCCTATGCTCCAATTTGCAACCGTTACCCCTTGTCCTATCACTGGTCATCACTGAGAAAAGCCTAACTCCATCTCCCTGACACTCACCCCTTACATATTTGTAAACATTGATGAGGTCACCCCTCAGTCTCCTTTTCTCCAAGCTAAAGAGACCCAGCTCCCTCAGCCTTTCCTCATCAGGGAGATGTTCCACTCCCTTAATCATCTTTGTAGCTCTGCGCTGGACTCTTTCAAGCAGTTCCCTGTCCTTCTTGAACTGAGGGGCCCAGAACTGGACACAATACTCCAGATGCGGCCTCACCAATGCAGAATAGAGGGGGAGGAGAACCTCTCTCGACCGACTAACTACACCCTTTCTAATGCACCCCAGGATGCCATTGGCCTTCTTGGCCACAAGGGCACATTGCTGGCTCATGGTCATCCTCCTGTCTACCAGGACCCCCAGGTCTCTTTCACCTACACTACTCTCCAGCAGGTCAGCCCCCAACCTGTACTGGGACATGGTGTTGTTCTTCCCCAAATGTAAAACTCTGCACTTCCCCTTGTTGAATTACACTTCCCCTTTTTGATATATGTAAGGCTGAGACCAACCTTGTAGCACATATTTAAAATGCCAAACAAGTATTTTGAACATTCAATCTGACTTCTCAGGTCTGAGAAGCCTTACCATCTTCCAGTGAGTCTCACTCTGAGCTCACTGTCTCCCATCATTCAGTAAGATGTCCAGGATGAAGCATCTTGCTCTTTTTGATATGATTAGGATCTCTGCCTTCAATTTCAATATCAAGTCTTTACTCTTGATCAGGATCTTAAATAGTTGGAGTAATTGAGGATCCACTGCCCTCCTCATCCAGAGGCAAATGTTCCATGAATTAGTAAATTCATTTTCTCTTCAGCTGACATGCACCAAACTTCACGCCTCAGCCAATCATCCAATTTTGTCAGGTTTAGGGAGACTGATTACCTATTCCTGTACTATCTGGGAGGAATGTCCCTTCCTCACTACTAATACACCCAAACACCAAAGCCATAAAGCCTGCAGCATCAATTTAACAGCCTAAAAAACCCAAAACTGAGCAGAGCTTTGTGCGAGAGCTGCAGGATTTGTGCCACAAAGAACAGCTCTCCTGTGCCTCACTGCAACTTCCAGAACTGCCACAATCACGTGTTCTCATCTTCTCTTCACGTGACAGTCTTTCAGAGGCAGAACAGAACTACTAGACTTCCCTACAGTTCCTTCAAGGTATTGCCTCTTTTGATGTTTCCTCTTTGGAGAAGTTACTGGTCATAGAGTTAGTTAATGCTAAATGTCTCTGGTTCTGGAATAGGAAACAGGGCCTTTGTAAATGCCCAGATTTCATTGTATGTTTTCTTCTGAGATGGGCCCAAAAGAATGCCCTAAACATGAGTCTTATCAAATACTGCTTAACCAGCATACAGGGAGACAGTCATAGGACTCCTCCAAAATTATTCTGGCTCTTCTTGATTTGTCCCATTCAGCCTGCCTGAAGTAACATGATGTTTCTGCCAGTTGCTACCACCTTCCTGCTACTCCTTAGAAGTGTTTATCAAACTCCATTTGTCTGTTTCAGAAATCCAAATACCAGGGCCAAGTTTTTAGCCATACAGAAGCACCAAATGTGGGCCCTGCTCAGCGAGCTGCTGGTTACAAGATGCCACTGGCACTAAAGCTTCTGAAAAGGTGACCTTTAGTAATTTAGAAATCAAATACTGGGTTCCTGCTTTTTTTGACTGGTATCACTTTAGTTAAGTTTTAATCTTTCCCCAGTGAATTAATCTCTGAGTTGAGTTACTCACAGATCCCTCCCTCTCTCCCCATACTTACAGTTTGTGTAGATGGGTTGCCTGAAAGGCTTTCCCTTGGAAAACACTAGTGCTACGATGAGGCAGTTGATGGTACTTAGCAGCCACACTGTGGTGTTTTCATAGCTCTTGTAGCCATTGTCTATCTGCCCATGGGCTTCATCTCTTAGCCCATGGAGCCCCAGGCTGGAAACAGAGGAAGAATTATCCGTGTGGTTGTTCATTGAAAGGCAGGCGCTGAAAAAGAGTGTAACACTGATCAGAGAATGATCACTGTCCTGCTTATTTCCTCCAGCTTCCACTACCATTGTCAGGAATCAGCCATAATTTGCTGCTGTTATCACAAGGATGTAGGTTATTGGCAATGTCCTCAATCTTACCCACTGGACTGAGCTTGCTGAACCTGGCAGAGCCTGAGCTCAAACCTACTTGGATACCCTGATCTCCCCTGCAACCAAATACTGCTCTTCATGCTCAGCAGAAGCATTCTCACCACATGCACTGTACTGCACAGCAGACTTGCTGGAGAGCTTAGGGACCTGCAGAAAACACTGATCAACATGTTTTCACTCTGTGGGGAAGCACAGAGCCTGCCTGCAGCAGCTGATCAGGCCTGTAGTTAAGCTGATCAATAGTATTGTGCAGACCTGTCCCACTAGGTCTGCTTTGAGTCACCCAGAGTCCCAAGAAGGGGACCTACCTGTGTATATTGGTCTTTGAATACCAAGACTGCTGCTGGACCACCATAAACCCAAAAATCTGCATGCTGAGGCTGAAGAGGATGTTAAGTACAACAGAGAGCAGCAACGGGGGTGAGATGAGTTGGCTAGGAGGCCTGTAGGGAACCAGCTTTGGATAGGCACCTGTGAAACTCACTGAAAGATGCACAAACATGTTTACTAGTGTGTCCAAAATGAAAGCAGTGCTGCTGTGTGTTACTGACTGCTAACAATGGTCAGCATTTTTGCAGTCTGTAATTTTCTTTAAAATTCACAGAGATACTATATCAAGTACAAAATACAGTTGTTTTCTCACAAAATCTTATTGGTCACAGAAGAAGTTAAGTAATGGCATCTGACTATCATGAGGCATTTTTTAAAATTAAGTGTTGGATTTTTATTTTATTTGGCTGCTGTCAGGCCCAAGGATTAAAGGATATGCTCAAGCTCTCCCATTCTCTTTCAGTCAACTGTGTCTTGGGACTTTTTGTTCCCAATGTTCTATGCATCCTCCTGGACTAAGCACCTACTGCTCAGCTATTTGAGCTTGTAGATGACTGCATTAGCTGACCTAACACGTTTTCATCTGCTCTTAGGTTGAACAAAATTATCTGGACTTTGAATAAAGGAGCTATAGAGAGCCTTGATACAGAGTTTCAAAGGGCTACTTGCAGCAAGGTAACTTGGAACACTATATTGTGGCTGATCCTTTTAGGCTTGATTTACTCACAGCCTTTTCCAGTTGTCTGTTTTTCAGCAGGGATGGAAGAAAGCTGCCTGGTTTTGCTATATGCTTTTCATGCCCCTGCCCTTCCCCTTTCTGCTTCTAAACCTCTCCCTGCATTCACTTTATCTCAATAACCCTGTCTTTCTCTTTCCACTGGTTTCCTCTCTTTTTCTTGGCTTACAACTTCCTGCTCTTTAGTGTCTGGCATCTGTCATTGCTTTCTTCTCCTTTTTCACCTCTCTTTCCTCTCAGGTCTCCTGTTTATGCAGCTTCAAATACAAGTTTACTCAAAACAGTTTATGTCTTTTTCATTTAGGCATAGATCCTTAGCTACCTTCACAATCTGCCTTTCCAAGTCAAAAGGGAAAAGCCTGAATAAACTTTCCGTTACATTAGCTCTGGTTTTACCTTTATGTTTAGAGATAACAACCCAGTTATCAACAACCTACATGCTCAGCAAATGCAAGAATCAGAATTCCCCAGATTATCTCAAAACTTGTCTCAAGCAAGTCACTTCCTCTACTGATTCAAATACCCTATACTCTCTGTAGTCTCTTTTCTTTCTGTACACAGAATTATGCATTTCCAAGGAGATGAAAAATATTTGAGATCATTCTCTCATTAATACAAAGGATGACTATGGGGCTTACTTGTCACACCAATTACAGTGGTAATAGCCAGATCTTGGAACAAAAATTGGTAATTCCCAAAGGAGTTTAGTTGCTGAAAAGAGGAACACAAAGAAAAAAAAAAAAAAAGGTCACAAATCAGACATTTGCTGCAGGCTGGTTTGAGAGCTGTAGTATTTTCATGGAGCTAATGTTCCACTGCTTGTTCTGAAATGCTACTTAGCAGATAAGGGGACCACACAATCCACCACCCTGCCAACAAACTCAGCAGTGGGTTCACTCCATGCAATAAAAAAGAAGACTATTAGAAGAGACTTGTTTTCTCAATGCTGCGTGACTTCTGAATGCAAAGCCCTCCTCTCTGTCTGGGAAGAAGTCATGCTAAAATGGTTTAAGGCACTCCAGGGGATTTTGCTTACTGTGAAATTAATTCATGCTTTAAGTACTGAATAAATTGCAACTGCACATGCTTACACCAGATTCTCCCTTTTCACAGACATATGCCCTCATCCAAAACACTGCCCAGTATTCCAGCCTTCTTTTTCCCAGCTTGGATCTTGAGTCCACTGGCTGAAGTTAATGGGAAGAATCTTTCCAGCTTTCAGCAGAGGACCTTGTAATCACGCCAAAGACACTTGCAGCTCAGATAGGTAAAACTCCATATCCTAATATTATTGTGGCTTTTATGCCATGTTTCTCCTACAAGGGAGTAGTAGCTCATACAGTTCTGGCCAACATGTTCCCAAGACATACCCAGTACAGTAGAAGAACACCAAGGTACTGAATGGTGCTGTACAGTGCCATGTACTTGAACATGCAGAAGGAAGTGACAAGGGCAGCACGACCTTCCCTGTATGAAGACATGAATAAAGGACAGCAGTCAGGTCATAGGTCTGCTCCTGTTGTCAGTCCTCTCAAAACACTGATAAAAAAACCAAGGGTGTATCACAAGTAGAGAAGTCTCTGCCAGTACCTTGCTGAAAAGTGAAAGAAAGAAATATGGACTGAATGAAAGAAGTATCTTCACTTGCTTAGCTACCTTCACAATCTGCCTTTCCAAGTCAAAAGGGAAAAGCCTGAATAAACTTTCCGTTACATTAGCTCTGGTTTTACCTTTATGTTTAGAGATAACAACCCAGTTATCAACAACCTACATGCTCAGCAAATGCAAGAATCAGAATTCCCCAGATTATCTCAAAACTTGTCTCAAGCAAGTCACTTCCTCTACTGATTCAAATACCCTATACTCTCTGTAGTCTCTTTTCTTTCTGTACACAGAATTATGCATTTCCAAGGAGATGAAAAATATTTGAGATCATTCTCTCATTAATACAAAGGATGACTATGGGGCTTACTTGTCACACCAATTACAGTGGTAATAGCCAGATCTTGGAACAAAAATTGGTAATTCCCAAAGGAGTTTAGTTGCTGAAAAGAGGAACACAAAGAAAAAAAAAAAAAAAGGTCACAAATCAGACATTTGCTGCAGGCTGGTTTGAGAGCTGTAGTATTTTCATGGAGCTAATGTTCCACTGCTTGTTCTGAAATGCTACTTAGCAGATAAGGGGACCACACAATCCACCACCCTGCCAACAAACTCAGCAGTGGGTTCACTCCATGCAATAAAAAAGAAGACTATTAGAAGAGACTTGTTTTCTCAATGCTGCGTGACTTCTGAATGCAAAGCCCTCCTCTCTGTCTGGGAAGAAGTCATGCTAAAATGGTTTAAGGCACTCCAGGGGATTTTGCTTACTGTGAAATTAATTCATGCTTTAAGTACTGAATAAATTGCAACTGCACATGCTTACACCAGATTCTCCCTTTTCACAGACATATGCCCTCATCCAAAACACTGCCCAGTATTCCAGCCTTCTTTTTCCCAGCTTGGATCTTGAGTCCACTGGCTGAAGTTAATGGGAAGAATCTTTCCAGCTTTCAGCAGAGGACCTTGTAATCACGCCAAAGACACTTGCAGCTCAGATAGGTAAAACTCCATATCCTAATATTATTGTGGCTTTTATGCCATGTTTCTCCTACAAGGGAGTAGTAGCTCATACAGTTCTGGCCAACATGTTCCCAAGACATACCCAGTACAGTAGAAGAACACCAAGGTACTGAATGGTGCTGTACAGTGCCATGTACTTGAACATGCAGAAGGAAGTGACAAGGGCAGCACGACCTTCCCTGTATGAAGACATGAATAAAGGACAGCAGTCAGGTCATAGGTCTGCTCCTGTTGTCAGTCCTCTCAAAACACTGATAAAAAAACCAAGGGTGTATCACAAGTAGAGAAGTCTCTGCCAGTACCTTGCTGAAAAGTGAAAGAAAGAAATATGGACTGAATGAAAGAAGTATCTTCACTTGCAGAAATCTTGCTGCAAGCAGAAGGGCTTGATTAGAGTCATCTGTGTTCTCAAGGTCATAATTTCCCCTAGCAAGTTTCCCTGCTGACTGAAATAGTGCAGGTAAGAAACTCCATAGGAGGAAAAACATACAAAGCCAAGCAGATGTTCAGTAAGCTCAAACAAACAAGTCTTCTCCTCCTGCAGTGAATATGTAGTATTCAATGAAGGTGATGCTACCTCCTTGGTTATTCATCTGTCCCAGTAGGTAAAATCTGGGCCCTGGACATTTTGCTTGCATAGGTTACCAGGAGCAGGGCCTACCAGTAGTGTACAGGTTGATTTGGGGAAATTTGATTCAACTTTATGAAGTATTGTTCATTTTGTTTTTCTTTTGCATTTAAAATGCTGCTGGTGACATGAGGCTCAGCTGTAGATACCTTCCTCCTCTAGTTTTCAGGGAATTAATGTATCTTCCAGGAATTTCAGGTGAGAACAAGGCAAATGGTAATTTCAAGGTCAAAGACATTTATTTTTCTCTAGATATGTGCATTCTGGCCTGGTGGGAACATCCAACACTAATACTTGAGAGGAGTGGAAACTGTCTTCTTTCTTTAACAGGAAGAAATCCCACACTTACCTGATGAGCTCTGGCACACACGCTATGCTGGGGGTTCGGGATGTGAAAGGTGAAGCCACAGATGCCTCCTGCTCCGACAGGGATATCCCGGCGTGCGCCACTTTCAAAGCCTGAAAGTCACATTCTTCCTCAGCACTCACACACCAGGAAGACATGTCAGCCAAGAAGTGGCTCCTTATCACAGGATGTGTTCTGTGAACAGCAGTCCCTCCTCACTCCCTGGGTGTTCTCCACCCAAAAAGTTCCTCCAGAGGAGTGTGGTTGAGACATCAGGTTCAGAAGAAGAACAGGGATGACAGCAGGGGAAAGTCCATTTTCTACAGACCCCAAATCCATCCACTACCAGCTGCAGAACACAGGTTTGGCTCTGCCTCCTTGCACTTACTTGCAGTCACACCTTATGTAAACAGCCTAGGTTCTCTGCTTGTTTCCCCCAGGAAAATCCTGGGGATTTTTTGTTAGGGCGACTGCTTGGTGGCATTGCTCTCACTGCCACAAGGAGGCGTGAAGTCGTGGAGTGAACTGAACCTCCCCAGAAGGGAGTTTTGAGTCCCTCCTGAACAGGGACCCTTCCTTTTGGAAAAAGAAAAAATAAATTCTAAAGTGTGCGTTTACAAAAACCTTGAAGGGCTACATCTGTTCCCCATGGAAACTCCTTCTCACCCCGGTCTTCACCACCCCAAGACATTCTATATATTGACAGAAACACCACTGGAGGTTTTGAAGAATCTTCAGGTGGTTTTTGCAAAGGAAATTAATCAGCCCTGGAGACCACAGACTCAACAATGTGTATCTGGGACAGCTCTTGCCTGGTAAAGACCAACTGTGGGATCAGGCCTGAAGCAGTACTGGTGCCAGTACAGATGCTCTGTGAATAAGCAGAGCACCCCCATCTCCAGCATGTGCTCAGTCTAGGATACTCTACTGGAATTGCATTAATTTCTAATTTTTAAAATAAATATATTATAAAGAATTTTCACTTACCCCACAGTCATTGGCTCCATCTCCACACATGCCCACAAAGTAACTAAAAAATAAAGTGACCTCCAGTTCATTTCCAGGGAAAGTGAAACCTATAAACAGGAGGGAAGCAGAACCTCCTCCATAGAAGTAATTTACGCAGATCATATGAGCTTCTTACTAAAAGTCCCTCTGGAAAGCTGAAAGACTGAAATACAAGCCTGGGACTCTGGGCTGTGCATGGGCCTTGGGTGTGCACCTCAGATGTGCCTACAGTTTCTGCTGCAGTGGATGGCAGGGTACATGAGCATGGAGGTTTATGTTCACTACAGCAGACTCAGTCTCCTGCCCTCATGGTGACAGCCCTGCTCAAAGGAAGGATCACAGGCACTGGCACCTCATGTTCACTGGGAATAGACATGAATGGGAACTGCTCTGGGGTCTGGTCCTGCCAGAACCTCCTGATGCAAGAAGAGAGTGACAGAGGCAGTGGGAGCAGAGAGAGAAGGAGAACATAGGTTTAACAATTTATCTGGAGACTAGGGAACACATAAACACTTCTGTACTGTGAGTGGCACAGGCCACACCAAACCAGATGCTCTGCCATGTTTTATAGCCCATCGCACTGAGTCAGCAACAGTGCAGTAAAAAGACCACCAGCATCAGAGATGCTGCAGTGCTGGGAGATATTCCTAGAAATCTTGGATAGACAAGTGCCCCTCCTTCAGGCCCACAAAGGGAAGAATGAAGGATGATGCGAAAAACAAAACCCAGAATTATGGGATTGTTAGGTCTTTGATGGGTTGCCAAACCAACTTCAGACCTCAACAGGCTTTTGAAATTTGCTTGACAAGCAGTATGTCTGTGGAATTGTCAGTTTTGTGCACTTCAAGAAAACACTGTTAGACAAAAACTAGCTCAAATTATACTATTTTCAAGCCTGGAAATTCATCAAACACTTCCAAACTCTTAGGACTCATTATTAACTTACTCCAACTTTTGAAACTCCTCCACTAGGCTGGATTTCTGAGCAGGAGACATTCTAGCAAAAACTGTTGCATTCAGCAGGAGCTATAAGGAGAGAAAAAGGAAGTGATTTTTTAAGAACTTGAGTCACAGCGATTTCAGTGATAATATGGATTAGAAATCACCAAAAATTCACATTTCCAAACAACTGATGCTAGAATCCAAAGCAGGGAAGGCTGATGATCAAAGATAAAAGGCATCTTAATTAATATCTTGAAAAAATAGCAATGACAATAAGCACAAGAAGCCTGGTGTTGAGTTACCTGATGAACACAGATTACCAGGCATAGATTTAGTAGATGATAATTTGTGAGACTATCCTTTCCATAAAACAGACAAGTCCTGCTGCATTGCATGCTGTGTAATACCACATTTTCCCCTATTCTCCAAAACATTACAGAACCAGTGCTGTGCAAGGGCCAGGCACATGGCACAAATGTCTTAAGTCATGTTGTCCTGGTTTGAGCAAGGATTAAGCCAATTTTCCTTTTACTGATTTTTTGTTTTTTTTCCTTCAGTAAGCTTCCTTTTAACTAGTAGCAGAGCATTCCAGCTAGGAATGATAACAAATGATGGGATGTTTTTCTAACTGCTGGGTCTTCAAGGTCACATCCTTACTCTGCTGGCTCAGACACTACAGGCAGATCTATGACCTGCCCCATAGGAGGCTGAATTAGACAAGAAAATTGGCCAGAGATATTCCATTCCATATATCTACGTAAGCTCAAAGGAAGGTCAGAGATCATAGAAGACAACTTCCTTCCTGCTGCACCCTATAGTGACTGGCCCAGATGCTCTGTGCATCCTTGGCACAGACTATCTCAAGAAAGGATACTTCTGTGACCTGAAAAAGTATCAGTGGGCCTTTAGTATAGCAGCTGTAGAGACTGAGGACACTGAACAGCTGCATACTTTGCCTGGCCTTTCAGATGACCCTTTTTTAGTGGGGTTGCTGAAGGTTGAAGACAACAGGTATTTTGGGGAAAGGATTGTTCCCCAAAGATGTCATGGTACACATCTCTTCAGCTAATTATATCAAGGCTCTGCTATTATATCCGATTCTAATTATATCAGAATTTACTGAATGGCAAGCCTACCCCAGTTAAATAATCCAGACTTTACCTTTGGGAGTAAGTGTCTGAAATGCTGTGCTACAATTTGGTAAGATTTTCCACTCATGGCAAAATGATACTGGCCTGATCCCAGTGCCAGCCTGATTCTTCCTCCAGGCTGACTGTGGTGCTCCTATAAAACAAGACGGAATGAGTGCTGCTCCCAACACCTTAAAAGCTACTATGTGCAATCACCCAAGCACTACTACAAAGAAAACAACATATCATGGAGATTGTGCTTTTGAAGACGCTGAGAGACCTGGGTCTCCCTGACCTTGCCTTTGCCTGGATTTGTGAAGGAATTTAGGCATATAATGCCATTAATTTCAGTGTGAACTGGATGCTTCATAGGTTTTAAAAGCTGGCCCTCAGCTTTGCCAGGTTTGATAGAATTTATGCCACAGTGCCAATCTGATGGGCTGCATTGTGAGTGAGAGGGGCTTGAGAGCACATGGGCACCACTGCTAGACATTTATTTTTGCAGTTAAATACAGTCAAGATGCTGCTCAGGCTGAGGTTTGGTAGAAAGTGGCCCCTTAACAGTCCTTGCAGAGATTCCCTACTGACTGCCTGACTGTAATACTTCTCAGAGAAGGGTCAGCATCTCCAGACATGCTTTTTTGGGTGAGAGTAGCTGTCTTTGTCTCAGTTTCTTTGTGGAGATACTTGGTGGAATATAATTTCTTACCTTATCTATCCTGTCTTTCACTGTGTATGTGCCATTTCTAATTAGTTAATCTGTGTTTTAATTTGGCAGGTGTGGGGAAGTGCTAAGTCTCTACCTGCTCATTCAATGCAGTCCCACAGATTTTATGTCCATCTCTATACCATCAAATTTACCTTGCAGGGAAAAGAAACCTGCTTTAAACTGGCATCAGCTAAGCATAAGGGGGAGACAAAAATCTGCCCTGGGTTTCTGCAAAGCTGTTGTCAAACCTCACTAAGCAGTTAGCAAAACTGTGTTCATAAGATAATATGCTAGGAAGGAAGTTCTAGGGGAGTACATTTTCTATTATGATCCCTTCTTTTTAAACACTTTTCTAGCATATAACATTCTGACACACAGATGATGCTCAATGACTGGTCTCTGTTATACCAGAATAATCCCACTGCATTATTTAAAGCATTCCAGCTTAGTTTGTTTTCCTGCTGCACAACACCTGCTTCTTATATGCTCACCAGGCTTCCATAATCTTCAGATTTGTTTTCTTCTAGTGCTTTCCAGGTTATAGATGCTGAAAAAGATCCAGGTATTTTGTTTGCTTCCACAAGAATCACTCTGTTCATTGGAGAAATCATCCTAGCATTTTTGGCAACAGTTACAGCTGTCTGAATGTTGTCACCTAAAATAATCAAGGGGGATGTTATCTAAAATTGTTTATGGAGGAAACATTAGCCCTTTCCTGAATTCCAAGTTTTCAAATATATCTGCAAGAATCAGTAAGATATCTGTGTCTGTGCCTAGGAACATTTTTTATAAAGAACAAAACTTTCCAAATTACATCTGCCTCAATAATTAAACATATTTTCAACTGGAAATGGAATATTTTCAGCTTGAAGAAACCTAGATGGGGAATGTGCTTCTAGATTATGAGTTTTAGGGAAAAAAAAAAAAAAAAAAAAAAAAGAAAAAAATATATATGAACAGAAGCTTTGAAAAAAAAAGGAAGGAATTTACTGCTAAGCTGCTGCTAAGGATCTCTGATTCTCAACTAGTCTTTGATGGCCTTGGTGTAGGATGTTCACTGAAAGGGGTGAAGTCCAAGAAGACAAGATCTATGTCACTGCTGGAAAAATGTCTTTGGAACATGGAAAAAATGAGGGTTATCTTTTCCAAATCCAAACCAGCTTTTCAAGGAGAAGAATGGGATAAATAGGGATTGGTATGCATGAGTTAGCAGATGTCATAAAGTTCAGTGATCTGTCCTGACATTCATGCTCCTTCTCTGCTCATTTATGGCAACAAGATTTCATGAGAAGATCTTGCATGACTTGTCTTTATGCATGTCATCCAATACCCTTACCAGGGAGAGCAAATGGACTCACTGGAAAGTATCAGAGGAACAGGAAGGCTCTGATCAGTGGTGAGAGAGGGATAGGTTGAGAGTTAGGTATCTGACACAGCCTGGTGAAGCTGTCAGGGACATACAGGTGTAGGGTTCAGCTCACATCATTATTACAACACAGATGCTTCTTGGACTGTTACTATCTGAAAGATAAAAATGTCTGTGCCTTCCTACCAGTGGTGGTGAGAAAGCAGCAGACTGTTCAATCAAACATCATTGAACTCCCTGCCAGAGCAGAAGCCATATAGATAATGATACCTGTAACCATAACACTCCTGATGCAGGCAGCACTGAGCTCCTCCAGGACAGGCTTTGTCTCCCTTTTTAGTCGATTCTCCATTATCAATAGACCCAGGAATGTTAGATCAGATTCTACCTCCTCCCTAAAGGTGAAGAACAGACAGGCAGATTCAATGTGGCCCATTTTTGCTCTGAATTTGCTGATAGCCAGTTATAACTATTAACCATCCCCTCTAACACAAAAGAATTAAAATAACTTGTTAGTTTTCAGCAGGCTGTCTGTCTTTTCAAGTGCTATTACAACACCAGCCAGGCTTGCTTCCCCTTGGCAGCAAGTGGTGGCATGAATAGTCACTGCTTCCACTGCTGATCTTGTGTTTGACCTCCAGCTTTCTTCTTTCTCCTGGCAGTATATACATCACGTATGCTAGAACTGCAGACACAACTGCAAAATCTGGGACATATCACATACACTTGCTCATTGGATTGGATAAGTCTGTTATGACACCTGTCACAAGAATTAAACAAACCACTTGCACTTTGCCTCCATGTCATTAGCCCATTCAGCAAAGCAAAAAGCTCTCTGAAAGAGCAAGTGAGCTCCATCTGTATTAGGACCTGCAGCTAATAAGCAAACAGAAGGGACAGTAGATGCTAAGTAACCACAAATGTTTCAGAAATGATGTTTCTGGAGTACAACAGGCAAAAGCTGGAGGGATTTGGTTAAAAGGTGATGGGGTCATGTGCAAATGCTCTTGCCTGAGGCTGTTAGGAAAACTAATACCATGAGTGTAGCAGAACATTTTGCTGGCTTCTCTAGAAACTAAAAAGAGCTAAAGCTGGAAAGCTGAAGGACTGGATCAAGCCAACAGCAGAGGACAGTCTGCTGACTTTGACTGGGCTAGAAAACAGGTGATACAATGGAGTTCATCTGCTGCCTTTGCTTAATCAAGGAACAAAGGGGAAAAAAAAACCAACTGTTGAGCTGAAAGCCTGGATAAATCTTCAAGAATTCTGATAGAAATGATGGACTGAGGGAGGGGTGTACTAGCCCTCAGAATGTAGTGGAATTATACTTCCTAGACTGATCCTAAGTGAAGAAATGTGCAAGGATTTTTGGACATTTATAAGCTATATAAGCATGGGATAGTGAAGTGCCCTCTACCCATTCTCAGAGAGACCTATATCCAGTTTTAATCAGATTCCCTCTGGCTAAATCTAACAAAACTCTGTACTACAGCCTTTCCCTTGGCAGGGTTTTTGTGGTAATGGTGCTGTGTGAGGCACCACTAGCCCATGGCTGAATGTGGCTGATAAGAAGCAGTCTGTGGCTTACCTTGTTAGATCAGTAGATTGCTTCCCTGCCTGCAGAGATTTACATGCCAGTCCAATGACCCTAAAGCCCTGTGCTGTGTAGAGCAGAAGTTGGCTTTCAAAGTTCGATGGGACTGTGCAAAAGAGGAAAAAGAAGTTTATCAGGGCATTTCACTCTTTCTAGTAAAAGGAAGCCTCGGAGCAGGGAAGCTGTCCCAGAGGACAGCATACCTAGGGTCTGCCCATAGGCCAAGGACATTAAGGAAAACTGCTGAACTGAATTTTGCTCAATAAGAAAATCATTGTCTTTCCTCTGACACTTTGCACTTTGGGTCCTAAACTATTCTGCAAAGACTTACCACCTTCCATTGTGTCATGAAGGAGCTGTGCTCTTCTAGCTGCCTGCCCAAGTCTTGGAGGAAAAAGAAAACTTTTTTTTTGGTGTATACTGGACCAGTAGAAAACTTTTTCAAATACCTATTCTGGCAGAGACTGTACACCTTGCACAGGAGTTGGCACTTTGTCTCTTGGCAGTTCTCCTTTGCTGAGAGCAGCTCTATGAGAGCTCAGCATCAGAGCACTACAGAGAGAATCTAACTTTTCAGGCTGAAGTACGAAGTCTTAGATCCAGAAAATTCATCTGGACCTCCTACTCCATTGCATCATCAGAAGACACTTTTACATATGTGTTTCTAGGAAGCATTTATAAATGTTAGTTACCTGTTTCTGCTCTACATAACATGGCTACCATTTCTGGAGCACCTTTTGTGAAGACCTGTTGCTCCCCACCGATATCCTGAGCAATGACAGACATTCTCTGCAAGGCTGAAGAAAATGGAAACTGATGTAAAATGATAAGTCCTTCCACTGGAGCCTAGAAGAAAAGCAAGTGGATTGGATACTGCAGCAAGGATTTTAAACTTCAGTCAAATGATTTTATTTCTGTCCTTTGGACCATGGTAAGAAGCTAACCATGTATACCAGGCTGATTTGTCACAGTGGTACAGAAAGGATCAGCACATAAAGAGGAGGTGAAATTTGTGCAGAAAAGTCTAGCTTAAACAGTAAGAAAAGTACACTGACAGTTTTACAGACTATTAGATGTGATTTATGGAAAGGAGCTAACTAGTCTTTATTTCTTTAACAAGACTGCCTTACACTGGTCTTGCAAAGGGAAAATGGATGACTGAAAGCATCCCCAGGTGCATGACCAGACTCCACTGCAGCCCCAAGTGCTCTTAGAGATCTTCACCACTCAGCTGAGCTTGGATTGAGTCTCAAGCCACCAGGATAGGCAAATTCTGGAGCTGGACAACCTGTCATTCATCAACCCGCTGCTTCCAGTGTGAGCAGAAAGCTCCCCCAGGCACCTCTTTTTAACAAGAGAGCAAGGCAATCTCTCTCCAGGCAGTTCAAGAAAGATGAGTGGAAAAACTGCCTTGGACCAGGACAACCAAGTGTTTCTCTACTGAAAGGTAGCCCTTACAGTGATAGTTTAACTTGATCAGGAATGTGGCTCTTGCAAATAGCTTACACTGCTGGCTTTAGGCCCAGGTCTAAATGTGGCATGTGTGGATTCTTGACCTTCAATCTGGTGTCCACCGGAATCATCTATCACCTGTGAATTGAAAGACAAAACCTTTCAGAGCACAGCACCAGCAGAGCTGAAAGGAACCTCAGGAAATCATTCAGAGCTTTGCCTTCCTTTACAACAAAGTATCTTATTCATTCCTGAGGGGGCTTTTCTGATCTCACACTAAAAGCTCCAGCAGTAGTTAACCCACTGCTTTGCCTGACAATCAAATCCAGAGCTTCACCAGCTTCACTAAGACACTGAAGTCTTGCACAGGAAATATATAATGTCCTTTCACTGACAATAAATCCTTTAATCATTACAACCCATTCAAATATGCAAAAATCTGTAGATAAAACATAAACCTGATGGGAAAACAATAAATAAGAGTTTTGTTAATGTAGAATGCATCATCCTCTCAGCTTTTGAACTAATTCACAAATCAGCTGGGTTTTTAAATCATCACAGTTGGACTGTGAGGAGCAAAATTATTTTATGGTTTCAAAGGGCACACAATTATTCATGTTTCATAGGAGCTATTTAACAGGATCATTCTTTTTCAATTTATAACTTTGATGGGTTTCATCAGCCTAAGGCTGAGGTGGCAAGGTGATGCCCCTGGGAAAAACCATCATCTAACTCCTGTCATTATTGGATAGTTTATTCTTTGGAACTTGGCTGGGTTAGGTATTTTGCAGATACAAAACAGATGTGTCAAATACAGGTGTTGTCATCCACTTAAATAGCTAATCCTGCTCTGGATCTCTTCTCTTTTGTCAGCAGTGACTTGTGGCTATACCTTCAACCCAGTAATCATGGACTGTTTTCCTCTTATCCATCTCAGATTTGCAGCCTTTCAGTTTTCATAAATGGTCATTTTTGCCCTCTGCCCTCCTGCCCTGCAGCTGCTCAGGGAGTAAATAGCAACACTGAGGCTGTTTGTAGGCAATGGGGTAGAGATTGCATGCAGTGCTTTCACAGCAGCATGGGATTTCAGACCTGAAGATGGTACAAATATCTCTGCATTGACAGAGCTCTGACAAAGGTCATCATCTTTTATCTAGATCAAAGCTCTCACTAGTCTGTTTTTTCTTTAAAAGCAGTCTTAATCTGCATAGAATCTGAGGTTCCTTGTTATCTGGCAGCAGCCATGGTCAGTGTGGGTGCCCCAGTGGGGTTTGCACACCTTCCAGTCTTCCAGTCAAATGAGCTAAGTATTCAAAGTACTCCTAAGTGAAAGACTAGACAGAAACAAGGAACATTTTTCTGAAGGCCTGAGCATGTGGCATTTCTTCTGGGTTTTAGCTGTTTTATTTCTGTGTGGGAAGTGGCTGTTTACATTGAAGGGCTTGGGACATTTATTTGTTGCAAGAGCATGGAAACTCCCCAACACTGTTTGCGTAACAACAAACAACAGCTTTACCCAGTTAGTGGCCTCAAACATTTTTACATCCAGTGGATCTCCTTGGATCTTGCCCTCCAACACAATCAGTGAATGACAAACCACCATTGCTCTGAGCACTGGGCCCCAAGGCAGGCTGTGGTCTGCAGGGAAGATGTGGATGTCCTGGAATCTAACCCAAAAGAGAACATAAACATTATCATCAGAGGACACCAAACAACATATGACTAACAGGAAAAAAAAGTCAACGATCCTAAGTCAAAGGGCTGCTGAAGTCCTATTCTGTGGTCAAGCCAGAAGCATGTTTCTGGGGACTTGTGCTCCTCTGTGAGTTATTTCTCACACACCTGTGAAAGGCTGGGATACAAATGCTCAGAACAGGTGAATTCTGCATAGTTAATGAGTCCATTGGAATGGACAGAGGAACAAATTATTGTAAAAGATATTTCTTGCAGCTTGTGTAATGATTCATGAGCTCTGAGGCTGATACAAGTCTGAGCACTGTCCAGTTACTATCCCACCAAATTGAAATGCCATTAATGTGTCATGGAGCCTTACCTGCTTCTTTCAGAGGGTAGCAAACCCCAAAGATCCAGGCCATCTTCTGTTAGGGTGCCAGTCTGAGTTAAAATGTACATTTAAATTAACTTCCCACATGACAACTCCAAGAGGAACACAAAACAAGACTGATTTTAAGAAGTTGCTGTCCAGCAAATGCCAGCACAGCAGTGCAGAGTTGAAGTGCTACCGGCCCATTTTTAGACCCCAAGAACTACAATTCACAATGGAAAACACGAATGGAAGTTTGTAAGACTCATCAGTATATTTCTAAAACACAATGGAAATGTTTGATCAAATCCCACACTCTCCCACCCCTACGGTTCCCATCACTAGTAAGAGAGTAAGAACCACACAGCAGTTACTTTGTCAAAGCAGATGAGGTTCAGTTGTCCACACATGTTGATCCTCTGTGGACTGATGCAGAAGATGCCCTTTTTCTTCAGCCTTCGCTGGGTATAAATAATCCCTGTTGTCAAGGCAGCTGGCAGAGCTGGGGGGACAGCAATAGTGATAACATCCAAAGCCTTCTTCACCACTTCTCCTGCATCCTCCTGACAAAAAAAAAAACAAAGGCAGCTGTCAGCAAGAGGGTGCCAAGGAGTGCTGCTTGGGTTGTATGAGTGTAGCCTTCTTCTCCCCTCCTCTCCTCCACTGCTGGTGCTTCAGGCTGTGCTGGTTTCTGCCCATGGTCCATCATGTGTTCATCTCCCTGGAAAATCAATTGCTTTGGTTTAACCAAAGGCTTTAAGGCTACACCACTGCTGAAGAGCAGCCTCCAGGCCTTCCTTCATCCTCCATGGCAGCAATAGTGATAACATCCAAAGCTCTTCACCACTTCTCCTGCATCCTCCTGACAAAAAAAAAAACAAAGGCAGCTGTCAGCAAGAGGGTGCCAAGGAGTGCTGCTTGGGTTGTATGAGTGTAGCCTTCTTCTCCCCTCCTCTCCTCCACTGCTGGTGCTTCAGGCTGTGCTGGTTTCTGCCCATGGTCCATCATGTGTTCATCTCCCTGGAAAATCAATTGCTTTGGTTTAACCAAAGGCTTTAAGGCTACACCACTGCTGAAGAGCAGCCTCCAGGCCTTCCTTCATCCTCCATGGCAAGCAACCTGCCAGGTAGAGCTCAGTCCCCCCCAAGCACATGAGTTCAAACATGTCAGCTACGTTATTGCACCCTCAGTCAAGCCCAGTTTCCCGTGATACAGCACACAGGAATCTGCCATTTATATGGGCATTCACCCAACTGCCTGCAGGCACAGCTCTGGACTATGACAGGTGAGACATATGGGATGGTGCAACAAAAGGAGGGCAGAATTCATGACCTAATGATTTTGTCTTACCTTATGTTCTATGAGCTGTGAAAGGAAATTGCTTTTACCTGCAGGAATAGTCATGGAAGTAAAAGTTACATTTCTAAGAGCAATCTCTGATTTGGGAGCTTAGAGGTCAGTGTAAAACTGACTGCCAACATGCTGAGTCTCAGCATTGTTATTCATGATAGTTGATGTCACTGCTGAAGGACTGAATGCATTTCAAATTGGAGCCCAAGAACTGAGACACTGCAAACCAAAGAAATTTGCAGTTCAGAAGGATCTGCAAACCATCATAGAGTTCTACTATTACTGCTGCTGAGCTTGGGACATTGCCCATAAATCATGTTGCACTTCATGTGCTGAATTTCCATCACGTTCTTATTCTACCCTCATTGGCAGTATTTCAGATCACAGAAGGCACAAGTTTGGTAATATTTTGTATCTCGTTTATGTTAGAATTTAATACTTAGCACCTTTAGATAAACACACTCACAGAAGAGAAAGCATTAAGTATATCATGTGACTGAATCTTGCCAGTCTGACAAGACAGTTTCAACTACTGTGATAACATCAGCATGTACTTTACACATTACAATAGGAAGTTAAGAAAAAAAATGCAAATCAGACACCAGGTTATGTTCTTAAATACACTTTCTTTGATATCCTGAGGGGAACTAATCTTCTGAGCCAACTGATTGTAGATTATTCCAAAGGAGAAAAATTACTCAAAAGCTGAATTGTAGAATCAAACTTGAAACTCAGGACTTGGGCTTTACATTAACAGATAATTATCAAGGCATGAAATGTTTTCTTCTAAGTTTTAGAAGAAGCTCTAAAGAAATTAGGGTATAAAAATTGCTGAACTGTTGTTTACAGTGTACAACTATTTCTGGTATTGACCTTGATGCACGGGAATAGTGAACTGTTTTTAAAAGGGTCTCAGGTGAACACTCCAGAGATTGAGATCAATATAGCTGGGCCCTCAGTGCACTAATAGGCCTTAATTACCTTCACTAGCCTCACCTGTACTCACACCCTCTGATCATGGGTTCTAGAGCTCCATTTAAACTCAGGCCTGGGCCTTCAACCTCTATTTGAGCTGTGTTGTACATGTGCCTTCTTCTAGCACTGTCTCCTGGATGGAGAGCTTTAGATGTGTGTTTCAGCTTTGTCTCTTGTCTGCTTCTGACTGGCCTGCTTGGATTATTTACCACTTTGCCTTGCTTGGGACTACTGATGGACTGTTACCAGCACCCAGATCTCATCACTGTGTTCAGACACTCTGTGACTGTGTCCTGGTGGGTGTTGGCACTATTTGTGCTTTGCCATCCCCAGCTCCTGGATTGCCTTCCCGAGGGAACAACTGGCCCTTGCTGCTTCCTGACATGGTAAGTGTTAGTTCTATACTGAGAAATTCAATTTAAATTATAATACAGAATTAATTAACCCTTGATGTATATGGTAGATTAGAGAAGACTTAATGTAATCTTCACAGAGATATCCCAAAAACCTCCTGGAGAGGTCTGGAAAAAATCAGTGGAGATATGGGTGACTCAACTAATCAGGATAGCTGGTTTTGCAGAAGTTATTTCCCTAAAGCTCTCACGGATATTAAGCTGAGTGATAAGTAAGTGAAGGTTATTTCCCTTCCACCCCTGCCTCTCCTCCCATCACCACCAAATCCAAAGATATGGGGGTGGGGGAAAAAAGGCAGGAAAATATTGGGAGTTCTTTGTAACATCAGCACATTTCTAGGATCTATATTTATACCTGCACTTTTCAGGGCTCTGTAATATAGAAAAAAGGTGTCTGAAGGGGTGGCTGTGATCTCCAAGTCATGAACAGTACAGGAAACATCAAACAGAAGGCAGCTACTTGCTACTAAAACTAAAAATTACATTTTCTTCAGTGATTTAGACAGCAGCTTTAATACCATTTTTATGCAGTACATAAAAGGAAGCTGTGGGAATCATTGCCACAGGTGCTGTCAAGTCCAAGGCTTAAATTAATTCAGAAATATATTAAACCACACCCTGGGAGGTTTTCAGTGGCTACTACAGCTAGATGATCTAGATACAAAAGACAGCTTACTGAACCACTAAACCTTGCTTTTCAAGAGGTTAGAAAACTACACCAGCTCCATAAGCATTTGATACCAGTCATTCTCAGACACAGTGGACAGGGACAGGTCTTTGATCTAACCTGAAGCTTTTGGAAAGCTGACTTTTTGCAGTGACACGTCAGTCTGTCCTCCATTTAACCTACGACTTGCTTGTGATTTCTCAAGGAATGTACAAAAAGTGCTACACAAACTCTGTAAAACCTATTTACAGAGTGCTAAGATCTTGGCACCTCCTATTTTAAGAGCTGTAGAAAGTTGTTGCTAATTACATGCATTGATAATTACACGTATAAGCAGGCCACACAAACAGAGGCAGTTAGCATGCAGAAGGCCGTTGGTAAGACACACAGGGCTTGTATGAGATCTGCTAAGACCTCAGAGGAAATTATTATTGGGAGCAGTTGATTTTGGAACCTTGGAACTCAATGTAGGAGAGCTTATGTGCTGTCACAAATTAAACTAGATTGTAAAATTACCTCGTATACTAAGGCAAAAAGGAGAGTGACAAGGATGACATTTTTATATATAAATGTATATGAAGCCAGTCAAATTTCAAGTCTCTTGAAAGTGGGTTGTGACCATATCTCAGGCATTTAATAACTCACCCCATTAAGTACAAATACACACACTGTGTAGATCATGCCAATGGCTGCAAATGCTATGAGGCACATCAGGAACCGGAGGCCATCTCTGTAAAGCTTGAAGTTCATGGGTTTAGGGTAGAGAATGGACCTCACCAGATCCCCCTTGGCTGTATTGAAACCTGAAAAGACAAACTAAAATAATTCCCAGAGGAAAACACTTCCAGAATTTCTCTAAATAGAATGGAGGTCTTTAAAATGGATCATAATTTCTGCAGTTTAAGAAAAAAGGCTCCAGATCTTTAGTTTCAGTCTGTATGAGTGACTCTGCAGAATATAGAAACTTATTTTTATCTTCAGGAGGAGGGTGCTTTTTCAGTATCTCAGAAGCAAAGCAAAATTCTTTATAATCATAAGCTAGTGGTTTTTGTAAAAGTTATGTCAAGCAAATAGAAACAATGCATAGTAGCTTAGCTCACCCCAGGATATAGATCCTCCATCTGACTCATGTGACTTTGGAGTAGTACCTCTAACTCAATGTGACTGGGAACATTATGTCAGACTGTTCCAGAAAGAAAAAGCATGAAAGGAAAAGCAAACTGAAGTGTTGACTGACCAGTCCGCAGCACCACAGCTTTCACCACTCCTCTGTCATCTGCCTTCGTCTGTATGACCTCTGTTCCACAGAAGAGGACATGTTTTTTGTAATCATCTGCACAGTGCATTCTCCAGGGCTTGAAGTTATCAGCTTGGGGTAAGTGGATCTTTGTTACTGGAATACTTTCTCCTGGGGAAGATTAGCTCAGATAAGGAAAACTGAAGTGCACCTTAAAATTAGCCTGCTGACTCTCAAGTACAGTGTGTGGACCTCTAGATGACAAGTTTAAGGTATTTACTAGAGAAAACAGTTTAGAGCAATGTTACTCTTATATTGTGACATCTTTGGAGTGAGTAAGAGTTTGAAGCCTTGCAAGCAAGTAGACTCTGCCAGTGAAAAGCTTTCCTTTGCACCAGTACAACAGGTTCACATAAGCCTGAGAACTGAGAGCAGCCCAGGCACTTTGAACCTGAAAAGAAACCTGAGCTCTTCTTGCATGACTCCCCTTGATTGCCACAAGTTATTTACCTAGCTTTGAACCTCATGTGAATGCTATTCCCTCAGGCAGATGAAACATGACATTCCCCATTGCCTGTTCCCAGTGAAAGGAGAGTCTTTAGCTCAATGCTTGACAGCTCACAAATATCCTATTTATGTCAGAGTAGATACACTAAGGATAAGTTGAATAAATATTTCCTGACAGTTGAAGTTTTCTAAATGAGAGGGATTTCTGGAACTTCTTGTTTACATGAATCACAGAATCTTAGGGGTTGGAAGGGACCTCGAAAGATCATCTAGTCCAACCCCTCCTGCCAGAGCAAGATCACCTAGAGCACATCACACAGGAATGTGTCCAGGCAAGTTTTGAATGTCTCCAGAGGACAAGACTCCACAACCTCTCTGGGCAGCCTGTCCCAGGGCTCTGTCACTCTCACAGTAGAGAAGTTTTTTCTTATGTCTACATGGAATCTCCTGTGTTCCAGTTTCCACCCACTGACCCTTGTCTTGTACTGGACATCACCGAAAAAAGCCTGGCTCCGTCCTCCAGACACTCACCCTTCTGTCCTGCTCACTCCACTGAACATTTTTCTAATCAGTGGACCCCTTCCTAAATTCTGCACCTTCTACCTAGAAAGGAAGAAAAGGATGAGCTGCCCTTCCTGAAGCCCATGTTGTCTATTTAGACAGAATGGGGCTAACTACAATTCAGCCTTTGTTATAGCAAACACTGGAAAGAACTCCCTTACAGACCAACTATGGACTGTCTCATAACTAAGGTGATGATGTTTTGATGGTAAACCTGGGAGGGATGAGCTGTACCTGTCAGCATGCTTTCATTTACGATGCACTGCCCACTGATCAGGATGGCATCACAAGGCAAAAGCATTTTGCCTTCTTTCAGAACCAGCATATCTCCAGGAACAAGATGGTGTGATTCCAGCTCTTGGAAACCTGTAGGCGACATATAACGCAAACTTTGTGCTTTACAGATTTCTCTGTGATAAGGGGGAAAAAAAATACAAGGAACTACCTGCCAAACAGATTGTTACTTCTTTATAATGGCTGATAAACAACAGACCACAAGTAGGACCTAAGAATGCAACCTCCAGTACTTAGAAAAGCCCAGGCATCAGTTGAAACTGAAGAATTCCTTATCTCCCTGAAAGCCCAATCAATGGTTATTGTTCTAATGTGCTGACCTAACTGAAGAGGCTTGGTTCTACATATCTTAGTTTGGCTCCTCCTTTTTGCATTGTGCTCTGAAAACCATGGCAACAAAAAGACTTCGCATGGAGCAATTAGGTGAACTCTCAGTCATTTAATGGCAATGTGGTGGACTTTGTCAGCACTGTTTTAAGGAGAAGGACATAATTTTCCTGCTCGTTTTTGTTAAGGCTGTGCTCAAACAGTTATGAATATGACTGATGTGCCACACCATACTTCTAGCCAAATCAACCCACTCTACAGAAGCTAATTAATCAGACAGAAGAGGAAACTGCTCTAGAAGGAATTAGATACTATACACTCTCAGGTTTGATATAAGTTGCTAGAGAAATGGAACACATTGAAGAAAGAAGTGTACAGGAGTCACCTTCCTTATTTCTGCAGACAGTGACCATGATGTTGTTATGAGACTCAACCAGTCTGTGCAGTTTAACCGATTGCTATAAATTAAAGGAGAACACACAAGTGTTACATCTTACATGATGCAATTCATCCACTAACAATTATGCCTTTATTTGTGGTTATGAGAGCCCTCAGAAACTGAGGTCTGGCCCTACCAGGAACTGTACAATCATACAGAGAAAGAAATTCCCCACCTTAATTACGGAGAAGGTGTAACAAAAAAAGTTACAAAGCAAAGCACTGGAATGAGGAAGGGAGGATGTGGGTAAACAACCACACATAGATTATGATGACTAGGGGGCCAGGACTTTACACCTGCTACTAAAAAATGTCAAGAGACTAAATCTCTGGGTAACTTACAGCATGGTACAGGTGAATGTTGTGACATCCTGGCCTTTCCCAAACATTAGAAATAAATCCTCCTTGTGGAAAAAGGTGTCTCACCTGTCTAAGATCATACACAGTCAAAAAAATTGAGAGGAGAGACATGATTATGATGGCAGTGGCATACTCCATGTAATCTTCAGCAAACCACAGACACACACTGAACAGCTGGAACACGTAAAATGGATTTAAGACCTGTTTGAAGAGAGAGCAAAACTCAAGAGCTGCCCTAATTTAAATGGCTCCAGTATGCCCATCAAGTCCACCCTGTTAGAAATGGGCTGCAATAAATGCTATTGAGTTAAGAGTGGTGTCTCCTGAACCCCTTTTTAATTTTGTTAGCAGTAGCTTCAGTCTTATCAGATTAGACCATCTCAATCTGTCAGAAGGGCCAAATAACTACTTGGACTGGTAGGATTTATTTGGGATGTGAATGGCTTAGCCCAAGCCCTGTTTTGCTTGCTTCATTACAAGAAATGTAAAAAAGGTAAGAGAAGAGCAGGCTGTGCAGTGAAGGTGGAGCTCACATACCACAAACACGTCTCCACACTGTATTTAGGCCACATTCAGCCAGTTCCTGTCTGCAAAAGATACTGGTGTTTTATGTGGTGCTGTGCCCAGAGTCATGAGCTCCCTGGATCTCTCTGCAGCTGTAAGTTTATACCAGCTACTGCTGCTCACTTAATCTCTGCTGATTAACATACAGCTCTGCCTGGAAGGTTAGATCTCTGGTGCAGCTTGTAAGGTCTGACTCTTATAAGGCCAACAAATGAGCTCCCAGGACATGGATGCATACAACTACCAAGCAGCCAAACAGGCATGGGGATGCAGGTTAGGGAACAATGGAGAATAAATGAATGTATGGTTATTTCATGGAATGGTTTCAAACAGGATTGGAAAAAGGAGTGTGCTTGATGAGAGTATTAGGAAGCTAATCCAGACATAGGCTCCATTATAATCTCTATACACACTCAGTCTCTTCAAGTAGCCTAGAATAAAAATCCCACAGAAATGTTTCACCTCTTTGATGAGTAGTTTCCAAATAGGGACCACTGGAACATCAATAGTGTTTGGTCCACATATAAGTCTCCTGTATGGGATAAAGATACATCACTTAGAGATGAAATAGTGACTGTGTAGCTCACTCAGAAAGTTCCAGCTTGCTGTAGTCCTGAGAATTAAAAAATTAAATGCCTCTACAAGACTTGTGTCAGAAAAGATGAATGTACTAGTGAAGTCATCTTAAACAGACAAGGTGTAGCACAGTCTTTTAGGCAAACATTTACAAATCACCAAAATCCTTGTGAAGCACCATAAACAAAGGAATTCTGCACCTAAAACTAAATTATCTAAAACCAAATAGTTCTGCATAAAGTTAAGGAGGATTTGAATGTATGATTCAACATGAGCTAGGGCTAGGAGCTGGATTTTCAGTATTATATCAACAGAATATAATTTCTTTATTTATTGGTTTGAGGAATAACTATTCTGTAAATTGTTTCATTATACAGTAAATTCAAAAACCAGGACTAATTGATTTAGAAGTTCAATACAATTATCTGCACCATCTCATGGAGACTTTCTCTTACTCCAAATAAGAACTGCTTAGAGTTAGTTACAGGACACAGTTATATCCTGAATAAGAAAAATAACAGGGATTAATACTGAGACATTCCAAAAACTTTGACAAGAAATACATTCTCTAGCCCTTTTCATTGCATTTTTCATGCATGACTGTTTCATCTAAAATTATATGCATATTAGTGGATACAGAAGAAACTCAAGGAAAGTGCACCAAAAGCAGTACATTTACATTTCTTTGAAATCCATATATTGAGTACATGTATTTTAAAATGTGTACCTGACATTCTGTTCATAGCAGGTGAGACCAGAACCAAATTTGGCATGTATAGCTGAGCAAGAGTAATCGTCTTCTAGGGCTCTAGAATATAAAGGGAGGGTTTCCTTAGAACATTATTCACAAAGAAGTTTGACTTCCTCATAGACTTGTGTAACCAGGGCATTGAACTCACCCGACTTTCTGAAACTGCTTTGCATAGATATTCCAGACATAACGGATTTTTTGTACTTGGATACTTTTCACCTGCAAAAGAAAACAGGTACAACAATATATGCAACAGAGCAAACAAAAATATTCCCAGGCCTGCTCACAGATCTTAGCTAGGCATCCTTACTGGGGTGAAGCACAGCTGAAGCAAATTATATGGGGAGTGGGGAGGGAGAAAGGACAGAATCTCATACATTAACTCCCTGGTTACGTTATAGAGTGGGATCCTGACCTCAGTGCAGCTTCCAGTAAGCTTTACAGATATTTAGATCAAGCAAGTAGAAAGTAGCATTCCTCTCTCCCCATTTTATGAATCAAGGAATACAGTCCTCACTCTCATTTCACAGAAGAAAGGGAAGAGATCACTGATGCAGTGGTGGGTACCTAGGCAAGTGTCAAAGCCTGTCTTCAGTCAACAACTTCCTCATCTTCTGGCTGGCTTTGATAGAAGCAGAGGCTTTGGACATGGTGTCAAAGCCCTTCAGCTGAACAGATTTGCCAACAGACAAGAAGGCCCATCCCAGGATACTTCCTGAGTCACTGCTAATGCTAAGCCCTTGCAGAGCTGCTACCCATTAGCAACACATGCTGCCATTTACAACCTGCAAAGGGAGTCTGTCCTGCCCTGCACAGGCAGAACAAAGCCTCTTGGAGATAATGGTCATATCAGCCGGAAGAAGGCAAGGCTAGATACCCATACACAGAAGTAATTAAGAAATAGGCTGTAGGGCATTCCTACCCTTCCTACCCAGTACAATAAGCACTATTGGAGGCAAATGAAATCTATGCTCAGCTTACATACTCACTCAAAATGGAGCTGTAACCACAGTCATTAACCTAACAACAGGTCTGTAGTTAGGATTTCATGCAGTAACAGCTGCAATATTTACAATGCTAAACACTGGAGTGGGAAATGAAGGAGTCAACTCGAGGTCAGAACAGGTCCTTGGACAGATCTTGGGCACTACATTTCTCTGTGGACTTAGGTATTTATAATTTACATATGAGTAGGGGCTTTTAAATTGCTAGTAAAGGATTAAACTGCTCTTTCCTGCTTTCAAATCTGTTCTTTTCTATCTAGATATTTTGATTGATTAAAGTATTGTTCAAAGGGCATATTATTTGAGGGCTATATTGGGCTTTTTTATGTTACCAATTTGATCCTCTGAAGAATGTCACAAACCAGTCTTCACTTTCACACTGTGCCAGTTGATTAAACTAGCTGGTAGTAAACTTTCTTATTTATGTTAATATGTGCCCACACACAGCAGCAGTAATAGCAACAGCTTTGCTCAGCTAAAGTTAGGTTTATAGTGAAAATTCATACTAAAATTTGCTGTACATATAAAAATAAATGCTAACAAGTTAGAAATCTACTGCCTGGAATGGAATATAGCTCTTTTATGGGTTCCCCACTGCAAAGATCTAGTAGCTATAATCAAGAGCCAGATATTAGCAAATGTACAATTGCATTCCTATTGCTCACAACAATTTACTGTGTAATGCTAAGCAGGACATATAACTGAACTGTCTGGTACTTGTTCTAAAATGGAAATAATTATATTTCTCTACCCATGAGGGACACTGTGATCTGCTTGAAACAATTAATCATCTACCTTCTCCTCAGTGCCTCACTGGGATCTTAAAGCTATGGAACTGGCAGAGACCAGGATACATTTTTGCAGGAACCATCAAAAGTGCAAGACCTGAATCCAGCAAGTATAATTGAAGGCACAAATTGATGCATACAAAGGCAAGAAAGTAAAACATGTTTCAGACCATCCTTGATGAAACATTTCTGGAAATACTGATGCAGCTTTGACTAGGCACTTCTCTGTTCTGTTCCTCTTCAGCTGCATTCATCCCTGTTTTCCTGTTACTGTGGTGTTTAGTCCTCACAACTTCCCTTCAGACACACAGCCACCCCTAAATTCCTCCATTCCTATGTTTTGATTTGGAACTCTGATTCTTCACTACCAACCCCTGTGTCTTGAAGCTCTCCTACTTACAATGTAGGTTTTCTCTCAAGAGTAGTGCGGATTTATTTATTTTTTTATAACCCACCTCAGAGTAAGAGAGGACCTTTACAGAGGTGAGCATGTTCTTCAAAATCTCTAGCTTGTTTTCCACAGCTCACTGTGTTCATCAAGCTGCAAGTTTCTTAGCTGGATATGTTTTACAGCTCACTTTCACTTTATGAAGCATGGCTGAGATTTGTTATTGTCTCCCAGATACTGGGAATACTTTACTTACTTGCAAACTTGGCTTCATTATGGCTTTGCTGAAGATTGAGTCTTCCTCAACACTGGATGGATTTTCCAATTTACTTTTGATAAGTGCAGACACAGAGATCCATGTCACAGTCTTACGAGAATAAACCTGAAATTCATCCTAAATGAATATGTAAGAGAAGCATTAAAATTTCCCTCAAAAACAGTCCAGGTTCTCTATCACCTCAGAGTGGATGATTACAGTGGTCCTTGCTAGAGCACTGCTCCAGCTTTTTTAAAGAACTAACCAACAGGGGCCTCTCAGAACCTCTGACTGATAAATAAATCAGCAGAATGGAACTCTGGTCCTGTCAAAATGTGAGCACTGTGAAGAATTCCCTGCCCACAGGTCTGCTTCTTGGCTGATAAGGACAGAATGTGAACCTCCCACTCATGATCTAGGACAGGCAAACAGTACAGGATAGTACAGGACAACATGAGATGCAGTGACCATAACTGTAAGGGGAAAATCAAAAGAAACATTGACCTGGACTGCAAAATAAATGTTTAGTGTCAATACCTTCTCACAGTTATTCCTGTGTTAATGCTTCATTGGAACAAGCCGTTAGCACCACGGCTCCCTCATGGTCCCCCAGACAAGCCCTTGTCACAAGTTGAGTTAATGATCTTGCTATTTCTTTCAATAAACTTAACATTGGAACTGTCTGATAAGCAGTCTTGGTAGTACAGTCTTAGAGATTAGAGCAACTACTGTAATAAGTACCCTCATGTTAAGTTTCAGTCCCAAAGTCTGAACCACTTGCATTAAAGACAACTATGAGACTGACTTATTGATCACATTTAATGTCTGAACAGCTTGGCAGATGTAAACAGGTGATTCTCTGAGCCAGCCAGGTTCTGAAAGCACAGTTATTAAACTTCATTTGGAAATCACAACAGAAAAAAAAAAAAAAAATCTGTACCAAATACAAGTCCTTTTGATGAATGTAAGTGTCCAAAAAAGAACTTCAATTATGTTTATGTACCTGAGTTATCCATGTACTTTTTTGTAAACTGGTATTTTGAGTGGAATAACATTTATTTTCTGATATTTATCTTTAATTTACACTTCAGAATTAGATGACATTGGGATGCAGATTCAGACGGGAAACAGTGAATAACACAGGTGCTCATTATTTGAACTAAAGTGAGTCAAAACTCGATAACAAAAGTGATTTAATAGGCTCTTATATTGCAGCTGCAGAGATGAGGATGAATTATGAATGAAGGTTTTATATGAAGCAAAAGAGAATTCCAAAGATGAAACTGATGGGATTACTTGTAACCTCATTAGCAGTAGCCATCACATTTGAGAACTAACATAATCAGAATGTTCAGGAAATCCGAAATTGTAAAATGCCCAGAGCATACTTGGAGAGAGCTTCCTACTAACAAGAATGTACAATATAATTCTTGTTTAATTACATAAAGGATCATTTAAAAACCTCATTTATTTGAAAAGTGCTCAGCATGGCAAATCCATTTAAATTGACACACAAGAATAAGTAATTAAAAATGCAAACTGAACTGAAGTTTAAAAAGGGAGATTAAAGCTAATACGCTTCTTAAAAAAAAAAAAAAAAAAAAGATATATATATACCCCCAGCCTATTATGATGCAGAATGTTTCAGTATAAAATACTCAACAGGCAGATTTCTTATTTTTAAAACCCAATGTTTTAACTACGTGCTGCTCTACTCATTTAAGAAGGCAGCTCAAGTACAGTGGTAGCAAGTGATCCATTTTGTAATTGCACAGTTTGCAAACACCATTGTTCAGGAATTTGTGAAGCAGAACAAATCAAACTTCTAGAAGTTATCTGACCCTGCCAGCTTCTGGAGTATTCGGACTCAGTTGGGATTCAGAGCCAAATCTCCGTTTCCTTCTTTCAGTATTGCAGGAACTTGCAAGGAATGAAATCAGGGTTTGTGTATGTTGCAGCGCTTGAGTACAGTCAACCATGGGCTTGTTGGACATGCAGAAGTGCTGATAGAAGGAGGACACATACATCCAAGAAAACAAGCAGTCTAAGTTTGCCTTCTTCCTTGTACTGCCCCCTCATCATGCACTGTTGGACACTGCTGGCAGCACAGCCAGACAAATCTTTGGTTTGGCCCACTGGTTAGATTTTGGCAGAGAAGGACACCAAAGTCAGGGAGAAAGGGTTTGCTGGATGCTGCCCATGAAACAGAAGCTTTAGAATCTGGAGCATAGATCTAAAACGTAGAAAGCACATGGATAGTGGAAAGGAGGAGGAAGGACTGAGAGCAAATAAGACAGTCTGGAAACCACAGGTATTACAAGTTTTTCGTCCCAATTTATTTCACCTTGTTGTCTAATCAGCTGTTACACTCCATTCCAATAATCATCTTATGCATAGTTTGTGGAATATTTCAGAGTTCTTTAGAACAATCATGGTAAACACAGGATATTATTGCAGGAAATCAGCAATGTGAGAGACTTCAGCTAACTGGATTCCTTCCAATTAACTGATCTTCCAGTTAACTACATAGTAGGGACTAATTTAAATATTAAAGTAGGCACCTACTGTTGTTCGGAGCAGAACAATGTCTGCTTCTTCCAAGCTGCAGCGGGTGCAGTTTGCCCACACGTCCCACTCTGGCTTCCAGTAAAACAGCAGCAGCAAAGCTCCGCAGGACAAGATGTACCCAGCAATGCACAGGACCCTCCGCCAGCCTTGGGGTTTGTAGCCAAATATCTCCTGTACCACAAAGAGAAAGCTTTCTTTGATAACAAGTTTGACCTTGCTGTTTGTCCGTCAGGGCGCCCAAGCCTATTGAAAAGATGGGCTGGTGACTGAAGGAAAAAAAAAAAAAAATCATTAGTATTTGTCTTAAAGAAACACCTGGAATACTACATTTTCCCACCATCCACTTCTCTCCCATAGGTACTATTTGGTATGGTACTGTGAAAAAACAAGTCACACAACTTGTATTTGCTTCTTTATGTGTCCTAAAAATTGCTAGAAAAAATTTTGCATGTTCCACTGAAGTTTTCATCCAACTTCACAAAATCTGGATTGCTGACCAAACCTCAAAATAATTTTATGTAGTTGTGAAACTAAGCATAAGACAATGTATATGTGGGCATGTGCTGGCATTATATAAAAATATAGAAGTCCCAACCTTTAGGCCCAAGTCAGTAACACAAATTTGCCTGGGCAGCTTTTTTAAAGCCCCTGGCTGAGACAGCTGAACAACTGGTGTATGTCTGCACGAGGGGATGCAGAATGGTGCAGAACTGCAGCTGAGGCAGGGCCTCCTGCAGAGTCAGAAACACTACTGCTGCCTTGCCATAGCAGTGAGGCTGCATTAATGCACCTACACTTTAGAGACTTGGGTAATGGTACAAATGACATGGCGTGGCTGCACCAGCTGGAGCTGCTTTGCACAACATGGCACAGAGTTGGCCTTTGTAGGGCTGTGACCATCTTCCATGGTTGCTCCAGTATGAGTGTTTTGGACCTGGCTAATGTGTCTTGTCCTAACAATCAAAAATAATAATAATTGTTAGTAAGAACAACTAATGAACACTTGCAGAATGCTTTTCATATTCAGAGGACCACAGGAAGCTACTCACTGTAGCTGTATGAGTAGGTATTATTATTCCATTTTTAAAGCTGGGGAAATGGTTACAGTGAGGCAAGATGTCTTGCCCAAAACTTCAAAGGGGTGACTGTCAGCATTACAGTTGAAGAGCTGCCAGGTCTTGGTACCATGGCCAAACTCCCTCTCAGCAGTGCTAGCAAGGACTCGGTAAAGGTGAAATGAAATGTACACAGTGAATACAGAGACCCAGCCCTGATCTAAGGTGGGAGGTTACATGTCTGAAATTACATCAGGTAACCAGGAGAATTTGCCAACATAAGGGTTAAGATTCCTCAATCTCCTTCTTCCTAGTACATCCACAGCAATTGTGCAATCTGCTTCTGAAGATCAGATATCTGTAGCCGCAGATATTGCAAGATCCATTCCTAAGGTGAGAAGAAAAGACAATGTAATTGGAAGGTTGAGTAATGCATAATTCCTTGTTCTGTGCTGGTGTCTTTGCTTGTTATGTGAAACACAGGCCCTACCCAGTGGTTCCACACACTGCCTCAGCCTCAGCTCAATGTCATTCCCCAAAAGACAGACTTGATCTACCTAAGTAATCTCCACGGGGTTTCTAAAGGGGAGAAATTGGCAACTGAGGGGGCACAGTGAAGAGGCCTGCAATTGCACAGGACCTGGTTATACCACCTTGGCATGCACACAATCAGCACTTTTAAAGGCTTCTATAATCTCTGGGCAGCCCAAGAAAATAATTCAACTCTTCAGCAGATAGAAAGAAGCTCACAGAAGACAGCAGACAGGCAAGATTACTCATAGGCAGCTGGTGTGACAGGCACGTGCTATTAATATTCACACGCTCCTATGAACGGTGAAGGGCTCTCCATTTGCCTCTGTCTAGTTGTATCCTTAACAAAAAGGTTACAAAAGTAGTACCAGCACTCAGAGTAGTACACAGAACGATGTGAATTTACTGTTCACAGCAATGGCCTTCATTGCAAGATCCAGATGCTTTACAGCTTGTCAGCAAGGCAAAGGGACTCCCAAGGAGACCGAGATGCCTAAGGGAAGAACTGTTAAAAGAACGTGCCTTCAAACTCCCTCCAGTAAATGGATGGACCTGGAATAACTAGAATAATGTTTTCAAATTGGGATGGGCATGAAAATCAGGGTGGGGAAGAATGAGATTGCTGCCATGTGCATCTTGCTTCTGTCAGTGAATCATTCCTTTAATTTCCAGCTTTTGTGGCTCACACCCAGAGTCTGAGAAGTCAATAAGGCTGTGGTTAATGCAATTAAGGAGGGAGAGGGTGGGCACTCTGCATGTGCTTGGCAGTCATTTGGGCTCATCTTTTGTTGGCAGTGCTCTTCTCTGCTGCAATGCTGAATGATTTTCCAAGCCTGATAACATAATCATAGAGCTAGGGCATACTCTGACTTTCTCTGCCTGGGAAACCATGCATCTATATAACAAAATATGTACCCAAGTCCCCCTGCCTGCATACATTTCCAGGCTTTTGTTTTCCAGTTCCCCCTCAAAAAAGCCATTCTCTTAAGAGATCCACTACTTTGTCTGCTGGATCTTGTTGCTTCTCACAAGAGACCATTTGATAGATGGATGGATGGATGGATGGATGGATGGATAGATAGATAGATAGATAGATAGATAGATAGATAGATAGATACTCTTGAGCTGTTCTGACCCAGTGCACATTCTGCCCTATGAACACAGGTGCTTCCATTTCATTGGTTTGTTTTCATGAACATGACATATTTTAATGTAAGTGTTCAGGAGCTCTACAAGGAGTGAGCTGGGAAAGAATAAACATCAGCTGTTACCTTCTTTTTTATATCTGTACATCCACACAGGAATCTAAAGCCAAAGCAAAGAATTTCCTGTGGTTTGGAAATGTCTGGAGCAGGTTACCTGGGCCACACCACTCAGAAGTAAAGCTAGGCAGGGAATAGACTGAGGTTGAAGCCTAACTTGTGCTAAAGTTACCCAAGCTAGAACCTTCTAATACTTAATTTCAGAATACAATGTCCTGTTAGGTTGAAGTGTTTTTCCTGACCCTGTGCCTTCAGCTGGAAGGACTATAGAACTGAATAAAAAAACATTGAGTAAGTAAATAACTCCTTGTTGAAAAAGGACCAGTAGTAGTACAAACACTTCTCACTTGTCAAGTAAGTCAACAGTGGAATTCTTCAGAAAAATTATCAAAACCATTGCCTTCTCCAAAAAAGAAAGATGAATTAATATTAGACCGACAACAGAGGTATCCATAATGTGCATGCAGAAAAAGGGAACAGGCACACACATGATGCAGGATTCTCAGCAGGTTTATCTAACCACATGAATGTCTTACAGTAACTGGAGTTTGTAAGTTCTTCAAACTTACTAAGGATTTACTAGGTCTATACTGAGAAGATCTCCAAGCAAATGCATGTCTACTGAGGAAAATGATACTTCCAGGGCTGGCAGAAATCCTAGCGTTGTCACCAGTAAGAATATATGCCAGGTTGGCTTATGTTGTTAAGAAAAAGGTAATAACTTTTGCAGAGTTGTATTTCATTGCACAAAGAGGCTGTGCTGAATACAGATTTGGACTGTGACAACTTTTCTACTCTGTGAGCAGGTTCTAAAGGCTCAGCATGTGCATTTTGCACATATAACATTGCACAGTCAAATAACCTGGACTCTTGAGAGTGGTGGGTGGTGGAAAACAAAGCTAACATTAGCTATCTGTAAGACTCCAAAGGAGTCTTCATCATCTCACAGGAGTTAGCACTGTCTACAAAAGAGGCTGCTATGCAGGGCTCATGTCATCTCTGTAGAATAATTCTTAATAAATTGTAGTGTACTGAGAAACTTTGTTTCCTCATCTGTTGACATCCTCTTTCCCTTGAGACTCCCAACAGTTAGAAGAGTGACTAAACCAAAATGGTTTAACTCGTGAGTGAAGGGTCTAGGGAAGGGCCACGGATTATTGGATAGAAAAAGCTGCCAGAGTTGCTCAGTTGGCAGAAAACGTGCTTATTCCAAGAAAGGTTCTTAGTTGCTTTTACAATCATACAAAGCTAGCACTCAAGAGCTTATTACTCCAGTGTCCAGCAAGTCTTTGTTATTTATGCTTAAAAGATAAATTGCCTGTAACTGCCAGGTCATCTGCAGAGTTCAATTTAAATGAAAAAGTCAAACAAGTTCAGGCTTCCTTGTCTTTGGTGAAAACAAGGCCTCCAGCTACCAATAAGGAGCCTAAAGAGTGACTGTGGACTATCGTATTTCTGGCAACCCAATCACCTGGTACCTTATTACAAATAACCTGTTGCTATAACAACATATAATAGGATTAGACTTGAAAGACTGGTTAAGATCCACAAGGAATTTAATAACTGATTCTCATTTCCAATCAGAACCTGTTTCATCAGAGGTTTGTTTCTGTTCCCTCTGAAGCCAGTAACAACATTCACTACTATTTAACTATGAACAAGGTTGTACCTTTTCAGATTCTATCTTAATTTTAAGAGTCAAATTTTTCGAACTCTGACATATATAAAATTCCTGGATCAGATTCTTTTCAGAATTTTTGGGATCCCAAAGAAGCAGACATGCCAATATACAGTGGCAAACTGGGGTTCACCAGCTGACTGACTGCAATTGTCCCATTCCTTCAGACACAAGCAATTGAGGAACACATGTTTAAACAAATCCTTCCTGAAGCAGCAGCCTGTCAAAGTCTACCACAATCTTTTGCACTACAAGACATCGTTTGTACTTCAGGGTTTGTCCAAAGGGAATTAGCCCCAAACTGTACAGAGAGGAGCATCAAATTGGCAGAAGGCATAAAACTGTGTTTTTCCTACTCTTCTTATTCCACCAACAATTGTTTATTCTCAAAACCACCATAAAGCAGATCTTTCTGAAGGAAAAACAAACAAATAAAAACCAAAATCCAGCAAGCTAATTCCTAAAATAAATCCCTTCTTATCACCATACTTATTAGCTCTCTCTGAGGCAAGCTGCTGAGTTCTTTCTCACGCTGCTGAGACCTTTCTAGTACTACAAATGGTTATGAAGAGAGAGATGTCATCTCATGTTCTTCATATACATCACTAAGTTTTTGCTGGGCACCAGGAGAGTGAACTCTCATTCAAGCAAATGTTCTCCAGCCATGTAAAGTAATCCTGAAGATGTACACAGGGACATACAGTATATCCTTGGGTAGAGTATATGACGTAGAGTAGATTTCCTAAGTTAGAGTGACTATTCTTAAATATAGGACTATCTATCATCTTATCTGCAACAAGAAATGGAAACCCTGAAGAAAACTTAGTATTTCTTCTCACTAGAACTCCCCAACTTCCCTCAGCAGAATGGACAGGTAGTTCAACACAGGAAAGCATTGCATGTTCAGAGGCCAAATTAACTACTTGCATGCTTTCAAAATAACTTGAACTATTTCACTCTGGAAGAACTGGCACCTGCATAATGTCAGCTGTAATATTATTACATCATGTGATATGATCTCGTTTGAGGAGTCAAGAGCTGCTTGGTAATAGTTTGGTTCAGGAGGATTAAAAATGATGTTCAAAAATATTTTTCATGGCTTAGAATTAAAAAAATAATAATTTACAGGGCCACTGAGACCTTATATGCCAGTGCCACTTGCTGTGGCTGCCAATAATTTAAAGTATATGATCGTAACAAAGAATGTCTGCACTTAATTCTCTTTTACTCCATGTACTCTTCTTCTCTCCTCTGCTTAAACACAGGCATCTTTGTCACTTTCTTCACAATGTCCCTCACCTACTTACTTTCTTTTTCTTTCACTCAAAGATGCACACTAGCTGGTCTCTCTTTCTATAAACACATTAGTTTCTTCCTTTCTTCCTCATCCTCTTACACACTCACAGATATCTTCGTCTCATACTTCCAACCTTTTTCTCTCTCTCTTACATAGATGCTACAAAGACACAGACCTTCCTACCAAATCTAGAACAATTTGGTTATCGTCTTAATTGCACCTACTACTCGATTCTTTATCAACCTTTTTCCTGTGGTTTTCATTCAGAAGGAGCACCCCAGGTGAATGAGCACTGCTCACACCTGTTGCAGGCACAGTACAAGTGCCAGCCTCCCTGCATCCACAGTGCAGATGGGCTCAGCACTTCCCAGTGCACGGAAAACCTCGGATTCCCAGTACAGATCCCTGAGGACTGAACTCACAGCACTTGTGCTCAGCGTGATACTGGTGAGAAACAAGAACACTACTGGGATAGCTGATTCAATGTAAGGGCAACTTGGGGGCACAGCTGGAACTGGACAGGCAGGGTACCACAGCGCTGGGCACAGCACCAGACAGCCCGAATTAGCTCAGGCTCAGTTCTGGCGTTGCTAGAGACAGCGCCACTAGTGGGGACAGAATCAGAGGGTGTTTCTGGTGCTGGAAGGACAGGGACAGGATGGAGCACGGACCCAGAAGCAGGAGCCGTGCGGAGCCGGGGAGCAGCGGCACATCAGCACCAGGGCTGGAGCAGGGAGA